TGTATGAGGGGATGGGCTCATGTGTGACTGTTGTAGTTAGGGATATTTGTAGGGATGTATGGCATTCTGGTGTAGCTATGGTGGCTAGAGATGGTCTGTTTTTACACTCCAGCCTGATTGTTATGCTGCCAAGACTGTAGTCTTGATTTGTCCTGAATGGGATGCAGAGATATTTCCACAGCTCTCTTTCTCTTGTAAAATTCTCTGTAATATGCTTTATGACTTGGGGTCATAAAGCTTTGGAACGGGTATACACATCTTGATTGGTTTTCCTGCCATGTTTTACATATAATATGTTACTTCATGATTATATATGAATTTTCATTCATTTAATTCTTGATAGCTTCTTATTTCCTGATACATTAAGGGAATAGGTAGAGCACGTGTAACATTTTTTTGTGATTTTACAATTACTAACTGTTAATTTTCATCTTAGAATTAATTTGCATCTCAAGTGACTGTATTTCTCGGTTTGAATGTAAAACGTTTGAATGTAAAACTTGTTGAAAATTCGAAACGTTACTTTACTTGGAGTGATGAGTTAGAAATTGTAAAAGCTTTGCTGACAAAGCAATCCATCCAGCATTGTATGCAGTTTTTAGTGCATGTGTATTTTAATAATGGACTGCCTTTGACAATTCAGATTTTTCCTACAAATACATTGTATTGATGTATTTGGGCTTGGTTTTGTCCATCTTGGATAATTATATGTGAAACGTAACCCTCAGTTGGAATAGTTTAATGAATGTAAAAATAGTTTCACTTAGTTGAGTTTAGCAACCTATGGCAAAATATGTACAGTGTTTGCATCACTACTTTTTTAATGCCATAATTATGCATGGGATGAAACAGATCCTGAAGAACAGTATTGGGACTGCTTTTTGGACAAGGATGTGAGTATTGCATTTAGCAGTGACACACAGCAAAATGTGGCAGGCCATTTGAGCTTGATAAGGTCACCACCATGTACTGTGTACCACTATGAGTGTGGAATGAGCTGAAGAGGTAGAAAAATAAAATACTGAACACTATGAGTATTGCAGCCACCAGCAGTGGAATGGTTCAGAATAATTAATGTCTGCCTTAGACAAAAGAGATGGGGACCACAGACTGTCTCCCTGGAATATACAAAAAGAATAAAGAAAGTGTGCTGTTGCACGAGCAACCTGTCATCATCATATGATGATGAATTTCCTTGTTTTTCAAGAAATATGGATGAAATAGAGAAATGAGACAACCAGTCTTGCAGCTTGTTATAACTAATAGGACTCATCTCAAGAGGGATAGGATTTATCTCAGCCAATTAGACACATTTTTAATTAATCTTATCTTAATCTGGACACATAATACAGGTCAGATGAATCACTTTGTAAATGTGTCGGTTTCTCTCCATTGACTGTCATTGGAATCCAGATGACTTCTGCAGTTGTGGATGTCTACTTAAGAGGCATCTCATTTAGTTTTAGAGGGTTTACGCCATTGGGATTCTCATGTGACAAACCCCAGTTTTCGTGTCATAAAAGTTCAGTGGACTGTAGTAATGTCAGAAACCGTATTTCAAGAACAGAAGTAAGATGTTATCAAGTTTTTCCAAGTGACATCTAGGGGTGAGCACTTAGAAATTAATATGTTACTAGATTGTAAAGTCTGTAAGACAGGCTACTGAAATAAGCAATGAAGGAAAGAAAATTCTGTATTTAAAAGAGCTACAGCATTGTTATAATCTTTAAGTTGTGACCCAAATGGAAGATTCAGCCTTGATTATGGCAGAAAGATAAGCCACGGCACAGTAAGTACAGAATTGTAACCAGAAGTTTCTCATCACAGATGAACATAAGAATAAATAATTTTACATTTGGGCAGGTGAGCACTAGCCAAGAGAAGCTGCAGTTCTTAAATACATTGTCTGTAATCAGTGAAGAAATATTTAATGAAGGCACCTGCAGAAAATCGTTAATGAGACTGACTGAAATTACCTTCTAGCAGAGAACAGCGAAGTTAGAGCAGAGACACTAGGTGGCACAGGAGACCTCAGGTACATTCTCTTTCTGGACTGATCCTTCAAGCTATTTGAAAGGGACTGGTAAGATGACTCAGGATGGGCCTGGATGAGGCTAAATTCGGTTTCTTTTGTGTGTCTCTGAAAGACTGTTAAATGTTCAGCCAGGCTCTCTGAGACCTGTCAGTTCTAGGATAAGAATATTAGTGCCGTTAAATTCCTGTTTTGTGTATATATTTATATATATTTTATGTAGAGATTTTACTGGAGGTACGGACAGGATGTAACTGTACCTCAGGTTGAGACAGACTATTCATACACTCAAGTCTGTACCTTTATCCAGATTTTTTGCCTCCCATGTACACGTACATGCACTGTGGCACAGAGGCTGATACCAGCTGAAACAAAGTAGATGGGTTATGGTGCTTTTTTGGCATGTTATTATTGTTGCTATTTAAATAAAATCCCCTAAGATTTATTTCAGACAAGATTGAAATAACTGTAGTACCATAAACCAGTCTTTTGGAACATTTTGTTTATGTAGATGTAAAATATTATAGTTGTTTAACAGATTGCAGACTTCCTTTTGTGGGCATATTTGGGACCAAATCCAGTTCTTAGTAAGCTTGATAGAAATCTTTCAGTCAGTTCCAGAGGGACTTGTATCAAGTTTCTGTAAGTTTTTGAAGATGCTAAGTTTTATAAAGTTGACGTTTTAGTGTGTGATGGGTGCCTGATATGGTGAGGACCAAGACTTCTCTGGGACTCGGCATCGTATGTGCAATGGTACGCTTTGCCATGAAATTGTCTTAATTGGATGGAGTAATGAGGAGGTTGATGGGTCTACCTGTTCACTACTTTAGAAGTTGTTTGTATAATAATATATTAAATATGGGGAATAAACAAGAGGACCTGAAATCTTAATCCATGAGCAATAGTGTGGTTGAACTAGCATAGCAAAGACACAGTGGGAGGACAAGGAGGAGGGAGAGGCTGTGCTCTTGTGTACTGGGTTCAGACACTTGTGCTGTGATCCACCTGTAGAGAAAGTTTGACATACTGATGCTTTATGAGTAATACTAAAAGGGGAAAAGCTTATGAGCTCCATCGCTCTGCAGGCATTGCACTGACACCAAGCAGATCAGGTAGGTGGGGGTATTTATTGGCAGAGTACAGGGGATGGTGATGATGGGAGATTTTAATTAATCAGTCATCTCTTGGAAACCAGTAAATGAGAACACCAACTGCCCAGTATGTTTTGCAATGTACTTAACAACCAAATTTTGAGACACTGGGAAAAGCAATTGAAGGGGAAGCTATTCTGTTTGATACCAAGTCTAAGGGAGAAACTGTTCAAGAATAACAAGAGGAAAGGCAGTTGAGTGAGAATTACCCTGTGATGACAGAGCT